TCCTTATTCACACTTAGAGTACCAATATACGTTGGACCCTTTCTTACTTAGGATCAACACAATACCATCACAGAAATCACATGGCCACGAGAATTAACTTTACTTAACCAGGATACATATGAAATCACTTATTAAAATAAGCTCTTAAAGCTACTTAATTCCTCATAATCATATAGAAAATTTCACTAGCTTTCCAACGCATCAAACGGCGCCTAAATCGGAGTTACGGTTCAAAAGTTATGGCCGAAACGATTTTTGGGAAAAACCTACCCGAGCATCAACACAGAAGATCAACACGGGTGCCCGTGTGTATCAACACGGCCCGTGTTGATGACTCTGCAACATCATATTTCACGTTTTTATGCTTCCCAAAATCACCCCAACTCATTCCTAATCATCCCCAAACATCCTAAAACCATCAAAATCGAATTCCTACCATATAGCAATGATCTAAGGCATACAATAGGATCAATACCACATCAAAACACCAATCAATTCCCAACACGAGATTTGTAATTACTCCATCAGTCCTTATCCTGAATTGAATAAACCAGAAGGTTTACAATAACGTCACACATATTCTTATATGCCACAACATTCAAGTCTAGACTTCATTTCTTATGAATTATTTACTTGTCTAACAGAACTCTTGTATCGTCAGAATCCATACAAGTTCTCACTTCCAATCATGGAAAACCAATCTTCTCTCTCGAATCCCCGCTACAGGGAAGCATATCCATCACACTCTTAGCCCACGATATTCACAAAACAACCAAGTCCAACTAATACCAACCAATCCAGTTTAACACGAAGGTAGACTTCATAATTCCACAAGTACTCCACATTCTCAATATATCATCGTTTACTCTTGTTGGACCTTAGCTCACACTTACACAACTACTGCTAGCTTCAGAATGTCACTAGGAATTCATAAACCACTAATACAACACTATCTGTCGCTACACCTTCACTTTCTAGAGAAGTACTCTCCAACTTCACTTGATCGTTCTCTTATCGAACCATCTCAATTTGATCAATACATCGAGACCTTTAATTGGTATTCTTTCAGATATCAGAATCCGTATCAACTTCTCATATCCATCTTAAAGCAATTGGCTTCGCTCTACCAAGTTCATACGCATACTAACGAAACTAGCAAGACATGTCTATCACATCTTTACTGACTTCATTAGCACTGCATACAACTGATGCACAAATCCATGAGATAAATTCCACCTAAGTAATGCTCTTACCTCTGAATCCTCTTCAGGACTATGAACAATGCAGTCTATACCATGCTCATACTCTTACCATTTTCCTCACGTCGAGCCATTACTTAGCATCCAGAAGCACCATGGAGAAGTACCAACTTCTCCCCCACTTATCGCAATCTTATCCCTGCAATCAAGTGATCCAAAACAAAGAAGTACCAACAGTGTTTTCAAACACTTATTGCGTACCAAGGGTAATGACACTGACATAACAACTTGGCCGGACAGACCGACCATGCTCTGATACCACTATTATAACACCCTCTAAAAACCCCGAATAAATTTTCGCAATTATTAAAATCATAATTTCAGAGTACATGTATAATCGAGGATGCTACAATTCTCTTTAAATAACACAAATTCCTGTCATGCATAATCTTAGTAGTAACTCATACATATTTACACAGCGGAATAATTTATTTAATAAAACCAATGTTATAATATTTTTCAAAATCATCAGGGATTAACACCTGGAAAAATGTCAACATCATATTATAACAAATATAAGGAAATAAACGAGTCTGACTAAAGCAGCTCAACAAACAAACGTTCCCGGAGTTACAACTACCAGAGCATGACCCGGACAATACTAAAACGGAAATAAACTAGAAACCACAAGCCTTCGCCAAGCACCTGAACGAAGCTCCTCAATCTGAAATATTCAACAGTAAGGGTGAGTATCTCAATTCTACATTTGATTATACGTTCATAACAATCAATTCAGGAAATCATAAGCATCACCCAATAATTAGCATATTTCATAGTTTACAAAAACCCTTACAATTCATATACCCATGATATATTACTTTTCATATTTGCAAATAATCATCAAACATCGTCAACCATTTAGCAATCATACGTGCATACAAACAATCAAATACAACATTGGAAAAATCATCCATTCATGTTATATTCAAGGTAATGCAACACACCCATGCATGTGGTACCACTTCACCGCCCCATTAAATCTCGGGTCACGGATAACTCACCGTTCCATTATATCGCGGACACGGCTACCACCTCAACGTTCCATTAAATCGCGGACACGTATATTGGCCACCATGTTAATTCCACACAATGGGAATTAACAAATGCAACATGATATGTAAAGTATGTAACACTCAGCATACTATGAACATCAATAAACATATCATGCGACATCAACAACATCAATCATAACAAGATACGGATAGCATGTAATCACTCAGCATACTATTTAAACATCAATCATATCAAGTCATATCATAATTCATACTCGATAACATTATCCAAAAGCATGGCAATAAAATCCAAAATCAAGCACTGAAAACAAAGTTCAGAAAATTAACACAGTAGCCTCAACACGGGTGCCCGTGTTGTGCAACACGGCCCGTGTTGTAACATATCCAGAAAAAAACACATTATCCTTATCAGTACAGGGGACCAACACGGGTACCCGTGTTGTGCAACACGGCCCGTGTTGTAATGTGTCCAGAAAAACACATTACTTTACCAACACAGAAGAGCAACACGGGTGCCCGTGTTGTGCAACACGGCCCGTGTTGCTGAGCGCGTACAGAATTTTCCTGTACCTGCAGCAGCTCAGAACAGCAGCCAAACGCGGGAAAATGCCAGCCAAAACGCGCATTTCGGTACCTAACGACATTGAGTTTGTATAACTCAAAACAAAACATCAATTTCCTAATTACCAACAATCATCATAGTCACCTTAACCGGGATTAATCGTCCTTTTTGGGGAAATCTACTAACATTGAGGTTATCCCTATAACTTCCAAGGTAAATTCACGATCATGCAGATATACTTCCAATCCACCATTAGGAACCTAAAATCGTTAATTGATTTCATAAAATTGGGAACCTAAACCTCCTTTAACAAAGTTCAATCCTAAGGGTATCGATCCCTAATAACATCTAACGATTGGGGTTTTTCCCTACGATTACCCAAATCAACCGTACATAAACCCATAAACAAAGGTAAATCGAGTAATAGCCCCCCTTACCTTATCAATTAGCAGCTTTGAACTTTTTGAGCGATGGTCTTCGTTCTTCGTACCTTCAGAGCTCTGCTTCCCAAAATCCCAACTTCTGTGTTATCGTGAATAATGAGAAAAATAACTTGAGTTCCAAAACATATCTTTACTTCTTTTGCACCCCCACTCTTTACTAACAACATCCAAGCCCAATAACTTAAAAACTCAGCATTTTCTTATTTCTTTTATTTTCCTCCATATTTCAAAATAAATAATTCCTCTTTATTTTATTAATAAAATAATTTCCCAAATTTAAATAAATCAAATAATTGAAACTGGGGTGTTACAAGAAACCTCAAAGATAATGGAACTTATAAGACTCATCACATCCCTATCCAAGCCCTTGGAAAGAAAACCAGTTGGCTGCATTGTAGATTGATGAGAAGGAAATTCAAGATGACCTTAATTCCATATTCCACTGCTCAAGGAGGAACCGGGGAAATAAACTTGTAGAATGTAGAAGCCTTAACAAAAATTAAACCCTAATTGGCACAACCACTAATGCTTTAAGCCATTGCCTTATTGAATGAAGGAATGACATGTGATTAACCTAATGAGGATGATATAAATGAAAAGCCTAAGTCAGATAAAAGTGAAAAGGTAGGACAAAATTGTGGTATGACACAATGCAAGTCTTCCTCGTAGCGTTCATCATCTTTAACATGCATGTTTTAAAGAAAAACAATGATTGTAGAATCATTCCCAGATCCAGTCTCAAAATTGAAACCCTGTGAGCTAGAAAAATAATATTTTAAACCCACATCATAATCTCTTAAGCCACCATCATAATATCCTTAATAAGTATCACCCTGTTGTGCCCAAGAGATTTGATTCCATTGGCCCCATCCTGGGTTTTCTTCAGGTTGAGGATAGGGTGTACTATTCAACAAGATACATCATCCCTATGATCAGCATCATCTTGATGAGGAACATCAATAGGTTGATCATCAACCATATGGGATTCAGCTATAAAATCAACAAACTCAGCAGGGTCATCAAAATTTTAAATTTTCTTACCATTCTTCTTGACACAAAAGTAATACACCTTGCATTTTCATCTCAAAAGTATCCTATGTTAGTTAAGTTACACTAGGATAACTCTTGATCCAGACCTGGTGAGATTTACTGAAGATTTGGAACCCTGATTTTAAATTAGTTAAGAATCTTGGCAATTATAGAAACATAAAAAAAGGAGTTCCTTTGTTACAATCTTTGATAACAAACATGTGGGAGACAAAATAGTTAGCCAAATTTATCCATATTTCATGAAGAAGGATGTAAACAAGGTGAATTTCAGTTTACTTAACCCTTGAGTGGCCCCCATTCTTTGGGTACAACATTTGAGAAATAATCTAGTGCAAAATTCGGGAAATCTATTTCAAATGACCATTTGTTATGGGTTAGAACAAACCTTTATACCGAGGAACCTTTAGCATTTCATTTGTGTGAATGTGACATTTAAATTCTCTATGAAGATTTCTATCCATCATCAATGGTTCTTCATCAACATCGACAATAATGATTCCAAAAAGAGACATTCAATGAGCATCAGTGAAATCATAAACAATATTACCTATATTCAACTTAAAGGTAGAGCCACGTCTATCATGTGGACCGGAGTAAAACACATGAATGAGATCTTCATTGTAATCTTGTGAGAGATTTAAGAAGTAATTGATTTGTTGATTCTCAACAAGAATCAAACAACTTTTGGAATGTCCAATGATGTAGCTATAACATGTTTCCAAACATATTGCTTCACAACAAGGCAGTGTTGGTGTATGTCTTCAAATTCATTAACACAGTTAGTTGATACCAATGAAAAGGCAGTTTTAGGAGTGGCAGAGGACGAACCGGCCTTACCTTTACCCTTGAGATCATTATTGTTCCTTGCATCCTTTGGTGCCATGATGATTTTGTTTAAATGACTGCGCACAGGAGTTGTTTGACAAAATGTGTGGATGAAACAACTATTAGTTTGAGGAATATGGGAATGCCCACAAACCCCAATATATTATGAGAATGAAAAAAACACACAAATGGATGGAAATGCGAAGTTTGGAGGAGTTGGGTGTGATTTGAGAGATGTGAAGTAAAGGTTCTATAGAGGTGGAGATTTTTGGAGAAATAAATGGGTGAGAAGGTGAAATGAAAAGGTATAATAAATTGTTGGTAAGTGGAGAGTTGAATGAGTTATTGTAGTGGATATTTAAGAGCTATAATAGAGTATTTAATGGTGGATAAAGTGTATTGAGACCAAATATGAGGTTGAAGAGGTTTAAAAGTGGATGCATGTAAGAAAGGATAATGCGAAATATGAAAAGATAGCCCAAAATACGTTATGAGCTGACCTGGTTGACACATGTGACGACCTGCATGTGTCATGAGTCGGCACATATGACACATGTGTCGAAACATACTGTATCAAACTTTATAAGTTTCTGAAAAAGGAATTAATGAGTCGACCTATGCAACACTTGAGTCGACACATGAGTTCCAAAAGTGAAAAAATCATAATTATATGTTTTGGGTCTACCATGAATGACATGAGTTGAACCATGCATGATGAATTATGAAAGACATGTGTAATTGAGTACTTTTCATTATATAATGACAATTAACACGCTTATGCACACATAAGTAATCATAATGATAAATAAAATAGAATACATGAGAATATAGTATGATGGGGTCACTATAAGCATATAAATTGATAACACACCATGGTTATCAATTGAGATTATTGGAAGTGAACACTCATAACATATATCACACACCACATATATCATGTACCATTGGAATATAAACATGTAATGGAAAGCACTTACTTACAAAGCAAAAATTGAAACGATATTACCTCACCCTACACATGGAGGAGGATGAAATTTCATTTCACAAGAAACTCTCAAACTAATGTTGAAACAAATGCAAATAGTTCCACAAATTTCTTTTGACATCAACGTTCTTGCCACTTTTCTCTTTGTTAAAGTACCTGATAGTATAATTTGTAATTCATCCAAGAAAGTTATTGATTTGATGATCATCTATTTTTGGTTGGACTTTTCATCTTGGTCATCTTCATGATTGTTATATTGCTCCTCCTCAAGTTTCACCGATTTTGGTTGATCAATTCCTTACTCATTGTCATTGAGTATGTCTCTTGAAGATACACTTGCATCGTGAAACGAAATACCTTCTCCTCCAATTCTGGGATAAGAAGAATTATAAGTACTCCTATATATCTTTTACCAATTAAATAACACTAATTTTTGTCTTCCTAGGTCACATATCCTTTATTTATTCCCACAAAGTCAATAAACTAGGGAGATATCAATCGACATATGTCTTGAGCTACCACAAATGAGAACCCATATTCTCTTCATAGAGCCAAGACATTTTTCCCGCAACATCAATAAGAAATGCTAGGTACTCAATCTTCATTGGGTCCTTGAGGGTTAGTAAAACTTTGGTTGCATTTAGGCAACCATTGTAAAATACCTTTAGGGACTAGAAATATCCTAAATTTTCATTTTGCAATGGTATGACCTTTCATACAATAATAGTGAAAAGTCAAAGTATGATGAGATGAACTTTTTCCCTTTGATTCCTTTTCAACAAATTTATACCTTCTATAATGATTATCATAAGTCATTTTGTATTTGGTGGTATCAATGGCAAAATTTACCTTTGGTTCTAGAGCTTTGTTTAATATGGCCTTTAGAGATTTAACCTCATTTTGACAAATGTGACAAGTCTCAAAACCGAAATCAAACCAAGAGGGTTTTTCATTCTCATCTTGTACTTTTTGAATGTCTACCATAGATTTCTTTAGAGATTCAATTTGCTTTTTGGTTTCTAAAATCGTAGCTTCTAAGTATGAAAAATATTTTTATTTGAAGCTAATTTTTTAAAATCATATACGACTTCTCTATGTAGATTTTAAAAATCAAATTATAAATTAGAATGAGGAAACTTATCAATATGTTCATATTTATAATACTTACATTATTTTTCTTCTTTTCACAATAATGGGCCGAGAGACAAACATTTTTCAGTTCTCTATCCTTTTTCTTCTTTTCAAGATAATAAGATGAGAGACAAACATTTGCATATTATTCACTATCACTTAAGCCTTCATCACTTAAGAAAACACTATTACTTTCGCAATAAACATAAGCTCTTCAAGACTTTCTAGATTTCTCGTGTTGACCCTTTCATTTGTCTATGTCAAGCAAAGAACACTCCGACCTATAATGACAAGTTTTGCCAAAATTGTAACATGAAATTTTTTATTTTCCTTTCTTATTATCTTCTTCATTTAAGGATTTAGATTGTCTTCTAAACTTTATGATGTTTTTTCGGCATGCTTTATACAATTTCTTCTAATGTATCTATTGTACCTTTTCAGAAAAACCTCATTTCTTCATCATCTGAATTCTCGTTGCCACTAGCATCACTATCACTTTGCTCTATTATCAAGGACCTCAAACTAGAAGCCTTTAGAGTAATGGACTTATCTTCCATATGATTTTCTTTTCCTTTCTCCTTATTTATCTTCTTCTTAAGCTTTTTCTCATGTTTCTCTAAGAAAGTGGTTCTTGCTCATGCTCTTCAAGCTTACCAAACAATATAGTGAAGTCTAGTGATGTAATATCATTAGCTTCCTTAATCGCGGTGACCTTAGGATTCCATTCCCTATTAAGACACCTCAAAATTTTATTTGTAGAAATTTCACTGGAAATCGGTTTCCCAAGTGCATTCAAATGGTTTATGAGATGAGTGAACCTCTTATGCATGTCGGAAATGGTTTCACCATGCTTCATGCGAAATAGTTCAAACTCTTGATTCAATTTATTGAATCTATCTTGTTTGACTTCATTAGTTGCCTCATGGGAAACTTGTAATGCGTCCCACATAGGTTTTGCGGTCTCACAATGGGAAACACTATAATATTGATCAACACCAAGAGCATATATGAGAATATTTTGTGCTTTCCAATCACAAGCCCATAACTTCTTTTCATTATCATCCCATTGTGCTTTTGGTTTAGCTGTGACAACACCATTAGCACCGGTTACCATAATTTCATTTGGACCATTGATAATGGTGTTCCACACTCCCTTATCATACGAGTTGATATGGATACACATACAAGCTTTACAATAACCATAGTTTTCAACAATGAAGACAGTCACTCTATTGTACGCCCCTTTAGGTTCAGAAGCCATATTCTAATAAGTGTTTTTGAAGTACAAAATAGATTGGAGATACCACTTGTTAGACGATGGAAACTTATATAAGGGGGGGGGGGGGGGGTGAATAGATCCCAAGTTAAAAAAATCTTTGAAAATTTGTTTTTAAAAACATTGGAAAGTGGAAAATCACCTAGATCAACTATCATCTAATATGAATCATTATCGGAAAGCTCGGGTATGGGTTAAACCAATGTAGTATGGTATGATAATGATAATCAATTAACACAATATATTTTGATAACCAACACTTTTGAATATTAACACAGTCTAAATGTAATTCCTAATGATATCAAAATGACAAAACACAATGAGGTAAGATTTAAAACACTTGGTGTGCAATTTGATATTTCAGTTTTTCTTTTGAATTTGTTATTAAGAAACTCAACTAAAATCCTAAGAATTGTAGTCTAATCAACAAAGTAATTTCAGGCTTGATAACCAAGGATTTTTCTATACATATCATTTGCACAATCAATGAATTTAACAATTTATGATTAAATGTAAAATAAAGAATTAAAAAGATAGAGAGAGATAGATAGAGAGAGAGATGACATGAGGATTTGTTAAGGAAGTTCACCAATCATCCTTCCTATGGCTACATCCGCCGCTAATTTCATGTGGAATTGAGATAATGAATCTTACTTTGCAAAAAATCATTTACAAGAGAAATGTAGAAATACAATCCTGCAAACCATATGTTTGATGTTAATCCTAACACTTTCTCTTCCCTTGATGTGATCTTGATCATGTCACCCAAAAATACCAATTTGATCCTCTGTCTTACGTTACTCCTTTGCAAGAAACCACCGTTCTTCAAAGCTTTCACTCTGCCGAATCTAAATTGTGAATTATTGTCACCCAAGATTTCCATTAATCAATTCACCGTCTCACGCTACTACTTTTCAAGAACCATCATTCTTCAACGCTTTCACTCGATCAAACCCAAATTGAAAAATATTTTCAAAACTCCCCAAATCAACACTTTGATCTTGGTGAAAACCCTCACAGTTTTTCATGGATGAACACCCCTATAGCGGTAAAAAGTTGAGACTAAGCCATTGATTAAGTTAACTCACAAAGTGAAAGTCACCACCGCACTTTATCGTTCCAAAGGAATGGGAAAAGAGCGAATAAAACCAAAAATAAAAAGAGATAAAGGTAAGGGGGTTGGTTATGCAAAGGGAATGTATTAGCACCCTAAAGATCTATGGTACTCTGTAGGAACCCTTTTGAAAAGGAATATATACAAAATAGATTGTGGAGATGAGAAAAGAAGTATATTTTAAAATTTTTGATTTGATAAAGTTTCCAATGAGCTCTAGTCCAGCATACCAATAATGTGCAATGTTGAAATCAAAACCCATGTAGTTCGGGTAAAAAAGACCAAAATTGGTGTGTTAGTTAATTTTTAAAAGAAAAGGTTTTAAAGTAAAAATCCAAAGTGGAAAAATGGTTTGAATTTGTTTTGTATTTTGAAAAAGTCATATCTTGGTTAAGATTTATTAATTACTTGATTGAGAAAATAGTTTTTAAAAAGCATGGACCTAAGTCGAAGTTTATTATGAAAGTGGTTCAAGGTTAAAAACATGAAGAGTTTTAAAAAGGAGGGAGAATATTTTGAAAATAAAGAAGATTGGAAAGAGATGAAGATACT